GATCACCCACACTATAGGAATCTTTCTTGACAGCTAGTTAAAATTCCAATTTCCTGAATGTAACTGTAATTAAAAACTTGGCCATTGTCTCTTATATGCACCTCCCAAATGTAACTTGATGTGAAGAGGTTCCTCTCTTCCAAACAGGAAACCTCTCTCCAAACCTCATATCACTGCTCATGTGTCCCTGTAAGACACATCTTACCTCTGATACAAATATAAAGACGAACAATGCAAATTATATAAGAGGCCAAATGCATCAAAACATACCTTTAACAATATGCAATGGTAAGTCTTAATACTTGAATTTACACTTGCAAAAAAAATGATACTACCAAACTATGATCCCAAATTTTAATGCCAAATACAAAACACTAAATAACATTTCTGCATGTAACTAATTACTGTAAAATTATTAAGGATGGCTGAAATGAACAAACAATTTTTCCAGAAATACAAAATAGCATCACAAAGTCCCTTCTCCATCATAAAAGTAAGTCCCACATAAGGTTTATGTGTTTTGTTTAAGTTTTATGTGTTTTGGCTGTTACTGGTTTAAACAAAAAAATCAGATAATCATCCTTAAGGCCTATTAAGGCCTTTCCAGCAATGAGGGTCAGGAAGCACTGGCAGACTTTAGAGAGACAGGTTGTAGAATCTCTTGTTACTAGAATTTTTTATGCACAGGTTAGAACAGTATTTACCCAGCAAATTTTGAAAAGGGCTGGTTCTACTCGTGGTCACTGCCCCGTACTTCTGATTCTTAGTAGCCCATATTAAAAAGTGGAAGGGATAGTAGTAGCAAGAGACATAACAACCACGGCCTAATGGTCCTTCTACATTTTGCCCACCACTGACAGTAAATTCTCTTTGTAAGTTAACAATTCTAAGAACATAAGAAAATTCAATGTATGACTCAGGAAAAGCAAATAATCTAGCATCAGAGATAAGTAAATTTCCCCACCAGTTTGATTTTGACCTGTTTCAAGGTCAAAACAGCAAAATCAAAATGGAACAGATACAGTCGAAACAGCCTCGGAACAAAACGACCCAGAAAAAAAAGAAGACAAAGCCGAAATGTTTCGCTGTTTCACTGTTTCACTGCTGTTCCCATGTTTCGCCCATAGGCTATGATGGGGAAGGACAAAACAGCCTATAACTTGGTCATTTCTATCCTGATTTTGATGACACTTGCAAGAATGGTAGCACCTTCTGAGTGCATGAAGCCTGCCAAGTTTCATAGATATAGGTGCAGGGGCTTTGTGGAAACTGCACCCCAAAGTTTTGAAAACAAAACTTGTGTCATATGTATGTGTTAAGCCACAGCAGGATCAAAACTGCAGACATGCAGTTATCAATAACCACAAAGGTAGACCTTGATGATCAGATCCCCTATAGCAGGGGTAGGCAACATTTTTGGGGCCAGAGTGCTGAAAAAGCCACACTGCCTACCTTGGAAGGTGCTGGAGGGTCAGCATGCCGGACCCCCGCGCAGCTCTTTGTAGCCTCCCAGCTGCAGCCAGCCCACGGAGCCCGGTCGCCTTGCAACAGCGCTTGAAGCCTCCCAGCTGCCTGCTGGGAGCAGCATGGGCTCCATGGCTGGCAGCAGCTGCTTAGAGCCCGGACTGGTGGTGCTGTGCCAAGCAAGATGGCTTCGTATGCCATGCTCGGCATGCGTGCAGGGGGTCGCTGACCTCTGCCCTATAGTAAAGCCATGGACGCAAAGGAACGCGTGTCTTCAACATTCTTTCGAATCACACACAAAAAAGCCCTTTCCCTATGCAAGAATTGTCATAATATCTATGGCTACTCCTCAATACCAATTAAAAGGCATTCCGTTTATCAAATATAAATTCAGACACTAACAATGATCCGAAAGACAGAAACACCAGAATGTAAACAAGGGCAACAGAATACAAAAACGTCGGCTCACCTGCAGCGCAGCCTGGTCCGCCTCACACACCTTTGAATCCTTATCCACCGGGGCAGGCTCCTTGCCCTGTCCCGCCGGCGGCCGAGGCAGGGTGCCGGCAGAGCTGGGCGGGCCGAAGCTCCACTGGCTCTTCCTGGGGCCCGCCGTGAGAGACACGTCCTGGGAGTAGGAGTGCAGGAAAGCGCGGACGCCGTCGATGCCCGCGAAGTGCGAGACGGGCACCCCGGCCAGGGCGCCGCCGGCCGAGCCCAGCAGCTGCGCCTGCCGCCAGCGGT